ACTGCACAAATACTATAATAGTGACGAAATCGTGTTTTAGTACGTGCATAGATAAGATATCTAGATACCCAACGCATTATTCGTTTTTTTCACTACCCATCTAGGGCGCCTTCTAGGCGAACAGTCTCGTTCTTTAATAGCCACACCTGGTATACACCATGTAAATATTAAGACAGATGTTGTATAGTATTCGAATAAATAGATTAGTATTTATTAAGGCTTTTTAGAATGATGTACGGACAAATAAACGTGTCCATTTTTTTGACGACCATGAAAGTGTCCTATCTTAAAAAAATAAAAGTAAAGTAGTGGGGCAAGCGTTATTTTTTAAAAATAAAATGATCGTGAACGTTCCAAACACTAAGTTTAATAAACATAATAATAATTAACATATTTTTTTTTTTTAATAGTACCGGTTAATTCGTGCGGTTTTCTAACAGATGGCGTAACTTGATTTTTATTCCAGTGATTCACCTTTCCAAATATGTGTTGGAAAGCTACTGTCATATTGTTTCAGAATCAGTATGTGTTATTTAGCTGAAGCGTAAACAACCATACTTTTTTTTACTCTGAAAATGTCGAATTTTGTGCCGAATAAAGTGTTTTTGCGGGGAGTACTTCTTCATTACTTCAATATGAAGAAAAAGGCTGCCAAAAGTCATCATATTTTGGTGGAAGTGTATGGTGTGCATGCTCTAGCTGAGCGTACGTGCCAGAAGTGGTTTGCACGGTTTAAAAGTGGCAATTTTGACTTGGAGGACGATGAACGGCCCGGACAGCCAAAAAAGTTTGAAGATCACGAATTGGAGACATTGCTCGACCAAGATCCATCCCAAACGCAAGAAGAACTTGCAAAATCACTTGGCGTCGCTCAACAAACCATTTCCGATCGTCTAAAAGCAATGGGAATGATCCGGAAGGTAGGCCATTGGGTGCCGTATGAATTGAAGCCAAGAGACGTCGAACGCCGATTTTTCGCGTGTGAACAACTGCTTCAACGGCACAAAAGAAAATGTTTTTTGCATCGACTTGTCACTGGCGATGAAAAGTGGGTCCATTACGATAATCCAAAACGTCGGGCAACGTATGGATACCCCGGCCATGCATCATCATCGACGGCCGTTCAGAATATTCATGGCCTGAAGGTTATGCTGTGTATTTGGTGGGACCAGCTGGGTGTGATCTATTATGAGCTGTTGCAACGGAATGAACCGATCACAGGGGAAGTCTACAATTGAAGAACACAAGAAGACAATTGATACGTTTGAGCCGAGCATTGAAAGAAAAACGGCCAGAAACTGAGACCAGACACGATTATGTAATTTTGCAACATGATAATGCTCGGCCACATGTTGCACAGGTCGTCAAAACCTACCTTGAAACACTCAAATGGGATGTCCTACCCCACTCGCCGTATAGTCCAGACCTTGCGCCATCCGATTACTATCTCTTCCGATCAATGCAACATGGCCTGGCTGACCAGCACTTCTCCAATTATGAAGAAGTCAAAAATTGGATCGATTCGTGGATAGCGGAGAAGCCGGCCGAATTTTTCAGAAAGGGTATTCGTGAATTGCCAGAAAAATGGGAAAAGGTCATAGCTAGCGATGAACAATACTTTGAATATTAAATTTGTAACCATTNAGAAAAAGTGCTACACGTAAAAATCGGAAAAAGTTATCTGGCAGAAAAGTTGTCCACGGAAAAAAAAAATAAAAATAAACATCATTGTAAAACCAATACATTCCTCGCTCCACTTAGAATCTAAAAGTGAAGAAAGTTATAAAACACCAGCGTTAAATCTTTGTATACTGCCAATGAGTAAGGCTTGATGGATTCGCCGTAGACATAGGTAAGTGAATTTTGGACAAAAATACTCTCCTCTGAAAATATTATACGAGTTCGCCACGTCACTGCTTGTATAGATTACCTATACAGTGTACTCCCGATTATCCGCGTTGCGGATTATCCGCTGTCTTCCACGGAATCGTCTACATACCTATATGTATACAAAAAAATATATACGTATTGTATCTTTCCATTATAAATCATTATAGGTTTAATTGGGTTGTGAATTTGTCATAGTCGATAACTCGATAACGACGTAAAATACGCTTTATTAATACACATTATGTTATGTTCCTTTAATACTAGACCCTCGAATGTACATTGTACATCATTATCGGTTAAATTGGGCTGCGATAGTCGATTATGCGATAACGTACATTACATATTGCATTTGATCACTTATAACGCGTATACCTATTTAGTCTTCTGTCTACTATCGACTAGAACTTCGCATTGGTGTTTAAAGTGTTTTGCGTCATTTTAGTTTTAATATTTTTTATTGCAAGTCCATAACGAAATGAGTGAAAAAAGAAAAAAAGTGGTATTGTCAATTCAAGTTTCTCTTGAATTGATTAACAATATTGAAAAGGGTACGTCGAAAAAACAAATCAGCTTGAAGTATGGAATAGGAGAAAGCACCGTTAGAGACATTTTTAAACAGAAAGATAAATTAATGAAATTCGCGTCCGCATCAGAAAACTGCTCATCAATGAAAAAAAGAAAAACCATGAAAACTAGCACTTATGAAGAATTAGATGCGGCTCTTTTACAGTGGATAAGTCAAGTTAGAACTGAGGGAACTCCTGTTTCAGGACCTAGTGTTTCTGCAAAAGCAAAACAGTTTTTTGAAATGTTAGGTTTAGAAGGGTGGTTAGACGCGTCATCAGGGTGGTTGACAAGATTTAAAAAACGCCACGGAATAAGAGAAATTGGAATTCACGGCGATAAATTAAGTTGCGATGAACAGGCAGCGGAAGACTTCAAAATTAAATTTGAACAGTTTCTTCAAAAAGAGAAAATATCATATGAACAATTGTATAGCGCTGATGAGTCGGGGATGTTCTGGAAATGTTTGCCAACACGAACACTTGCATTTGAAAGCGAGCGGCATGCCCCAGGACATAAAAGCAGTAAAGAACGCCTAACCATATTGACGTGCAGCAATGCAACAGGTTCTCAAAAATTAAAACTGGTAGTGATTGGTAAATCAAAAAAACCAAGATCTTTTAATGGGACCAGAGCAGAAAACCTCCCAGTACACTACTTTAACCAAAAAAAAGCCTGGATGAATCAAGAAATATTTAAAGAGTGGTTTGAAAAAAAATTTATTCCCCAAGTAAGAGAACATCTCAAGTCTCAAAACTTACCTCAGAAAGCTGTATTGCTTATTGATAATGCCCCATCCCACCCAGTTGACTTGAAATCGAAAGATGGAAATATTTATGTCAAATTTTTGCCTCCTAATGTCACAGCTCTCATCTAACCCATGGACCAGGGGGTAATTGCTTCTACGAAGAAAAATTATAGAACAAGTTTGCTTAAAAAAAAAATTGAAGAGGGAAATGATCTTAAAAGTTTTTGGAAAGATTACACAATTCTTGATAGCATTTATGACATAAATACTGCTTGGGGATTAGTTAAGCAAACTACGTTAGTCAAGTCTTGGAGAAAAATTTTACCGAGTATGGAAAATACTTTGATAGGGGAGGAAGAAGAAGTCTCTGCTTTTGATTTGGCTAATTTTTCTAAATCTCTTACTGGAGGAGAGAAT